CTACCCAAGGTACATTATACACCAAGTATCAAAGCATTTAGGCTTGTAGTTTTCAAGAAGAAGTCGAAAAAGTAAAACATTGACACGGACGATGGACGACGACGACGACGGACAATCACTCATATGATAAGCTCCGCTCGACAAAGTCGACAGCGGAGCTAAAAAAGACATAAATCGGCAATGCTGTTGTGTGGTGTGATTTGGTAACTGATATACAGGAATTCAGCAGATTATATACTTTCCATTTTAACAATCTATGTATTTTGTATTCTCTTAAAAATACCTAAAACCATATGTTGAATAGTTTGTATTTGTACATGAAGTCTTGAATTTGTAAATTGCATGTGATAATACAAAACACCTTTCCATTTTGTGAGCAATTCTTCAATATGGTATACCGGGGTACTGTAAAATACTTTATTTTCGCTTGAATAGGAATTATTTTCACAATTTCAGTGAAAATTTAATCCAGCAAATATACCTTATTTTACATCCAACTCATCAAAAATCAGTAAAAATAAACACCCAAAAAGTCTTTTCAGCAAAATTACAATGTTATCATGAATATATTTTTTTAAGGAAAAAAAAAATTAGGTAGCTTTCAAAGTTTCCTATGAGATGCAGTTGTCATTAGCATTTCATCATTTGGATCATGTGTGATACTGACAACAAAATACAGGGTCTGTTTCCACAAACAAATCAAGACAATACACAACCTCTATCTGTTCATGACCAAGAGACTCACTAACAAAAACACTTTTATTGTCCTTTAATAATATAATAAAAAAAAACATTTATAAATACGTACATGCTAGCTACCGCACCCTAAATGCTATAGTATAGCGGAGATACATAGAACAATAGTGGCGTATTTTTAATAGGATGCTATGGGGTGTTAATAATGCATTGACTCAATGACACCATTGTTGACTGTACTCAAGGATGAGGACAAATCAAGCAATCGTCCTATGAGTATATTGTGCACTTTTATAGATCGTACTAGCAACCAGGTACTTACAGGTCTGTAAATCATAGATGTACTTACGCCCAAACACGAACTCCAGAAACTACTTCAACTTTATTTAACACATGTCTAGATAAAGGGACATATTAGGTTGAATCATGGGTGAAGTTTATAACGTTGTGTTTCTTGAATAATGCCCCTAAAATGAAATATTTTAATGTTTGTAATGAACGAGACCGGCCATCACTGATGAATGGCAATAGGGTACGTTTTGAAAAAACGATTTGTTTGTACATTTAGTCAAAAGGAAGGAATGATAGTTATGGTTTTGTGTATTTCAATTCGTCAGACTGAATCTGTGTTGAGAGGTGAGAAGCAAATCTTGTCATGGGTTTGTGTTACTTTGTTTCTGGCTGAATCTGGGGGTGTCGATGGGTGGAAGGTGATTTTCTGGGTGGATCGTCACGGTAAAAACTTACAGAACAAACATACATGATTCTTTGATTAATTATTACTTTGAAAGCAAGTATATAGTTAAAAGCCATTAATAAACCTTGCAGCACTGTCCCTCGAACTCTGACGTTTCTCCCTCCATCACGGCTCACCGCCTGGTCTGAATGTGTGTGAACCAGCAAAGCATGTGTAAATTAATGAAGTGTACTACTAAAATGTCGGTATACTTCAAAAAATAAGCTTATTCTGTTATGTGACCACACCATGATAATTTTAAATCCCTACAACTGAGGGATTTGTGATGATAGAAGTGTAAAACAGACATGTGTAAACCGTTCACTGTCATAGCCATTATAACCAGAGTGAAGTGAGTACCTTTGTTCAAATTACCCTACTGACATGCATGTTAGAAAGGATTCACCACACTAGGGGTGAAAAAAGTGCAGGACATTTTTGTGAACATATATTCTATATGTATATACCGTAAAATAAAATAAAAAACATATGATAGAGACATTTCCGCAAAAAACAACAACAAAAAAAACATTTATTGCAACATCATCCCTATGCTTATCTCAAAACTAAGTAAACAAAAAAAAAGTTTTTCTACCACCACGCCTTCTAGATTTTCTAATAGTCTTTAGGTCTACAAAATATTAAACTATTGGAATGATCTGAACAGGAAACAGTGTTTCTAAATATCAATATTTAACACTAAATATGTACTCATAATGAAGAGGATAATGAATATTTTCAACCAACTGTTGCCATTTCTTTGAATGCAAGATTTGACCTAAATAAAAGAAAGAACCAGCAGATGTGTGCCTTGGGGTGTATTGTACAAAACAGGCTGATCAATGATGAAACAAACTTTTCAATAGAATGTATAGAACATTCACAGTAAACATGCAAACTATGTTGAAGTATTATTATTTGTACCAGGAACAATGATTTTTAGTTTTCCCCCAGGATTGTCTAATGAGTATCGGTAACGAAGCACAGCAAACATGAACAGCGGCATATTCTCAGGGGCGGAGCTATGTCACAGAATGTTCTATGTTGCTTAGACGCACACCACTGTAACTTGTATTTCTATGGGCTATACGTGAGCCGCTGTCGATAAGCCAGTGAAAACAGCTAAAGTCAAGAAACTAACACAAACTCAACTTTAAAGTAATCCTGAGCAACCAAATTGATATATGTTATACATGTAGGGGTAATCTCATTACACTGTTCAGAAGAGATTCACAGTTTCCCGTGAGTTTTGGCTTTTGTTACCGCCAGTGATGGTTGCCAGACAGAGAAAATTCCGGGATACATATATACATGTAATAAACATTTAGTTTTCACAGATTTCATTGACCCGAATCATGCAGCAGAAAAACAACTCATGACAAAATATTTAGTTCTACCAGTAGCGAAAGTTGTACGTCGAGTTTCACTAACTTAAAGGCATTACCGGTAACAGTTTTCATATCAAACATCTATAAAACTTTTATAAATTTCAAATAGTGTATTAAAAATAACTTGATCAATTGCATGACTGGAGGAAATGATTTAGAGATTTATGGCCACCAGTCGGCCCTTTTGAATGGGTAATTCTGGTTTTAATGTAATGCAAAGGTATTCTGGAATAAATTCCATGCCCATGTGAAATTCAGTGTAATGCTAAGAAAATTTAAGAATCATTTCATCATCTTCATCATTCACTCTTACTAAACCTCAACTTCTTTAATACCAAAGAAGGTTACCCCAGCTAGGACAAGTTCTGCATAGTAATTAAAAAGATAAAGATCTCAATGCATACAATGGTGCTGATCCACAGACAGGGAATGATTCGGTTGACGATATATCTGTCTTTTGTCCACTATTTCATTTATTAATGTATTCAATGCAATCAAGCATCAATATTGGTCATATTAAATGTCATATGAATAAAAGTTCTCAAGTTTAACAATGTATACAGGATGATATTTCAACCTAAACACATAATGTGGCAATGTAATATGTGAACACAGTAAGTGGGAATACAATTGATCATGCCAATCAAATGCAGTTCAGGACTCAAATTCACTTATAAACCTTTTATAAAATTTGTCACCAAATGATGGCATTGATGACCAGTATTGCTGGTTCACATCTGTTTTTATGCCAACATAAACTATACATAATAGTTACATCAAAATTGTTTTCTTTTTATATTCAAGATTAAGTACTCCATGCATTCTGATTATCACGCCACACGGAGCACTCAGAAATACTGAAATCTTGTCGCTGCTGTCTTTCCGAGAGCTGTGA